GGATGGAATTTCGTTAATGGTCTTGAAAGAAGAACATTGTTAATGGTTAAAAATTGATCACATCATAAGAAATCTTATGTCTTACTTTGAGATTTGTCGTGATAAGGACAGGCGAAAACTTTTTTCATGATCAATTTTCACGATTTTCTACGAATCGAAACTCGAGTCAGGGTGCATATATTCAACGACATCCAAAACTGTGAGCTGATGGGTCAGATGGCTATATGGTTAGAGATTATTGTATCTTACAATCGATCACACATCATCAAGTATCTCGACTAATGTCGAGTCTACTATTGTTGATTCGGGTGATCATTAGCTTCGAATTACTCTGTGCGAGAATTCTGCCCGAACAATTTATTTATTGCCTTAACCCTGAATGCACAATTTCTTCCTACTGGCAGAGTTTTCAGTGATTTCGTATATCGTTCATGTGGTTTATATGTGATCATTTCCAATTTCAGCATGCTGGATCCTTATAGGACCAGGATCTTTTAGCGAACTGAATGGTGGTGACACGCGAGAAATCGCCTAGCAAACTCTTTGCTTTTGGCCTTAGCCTTCTCTTTGAATGCTTTTGCAGTGAACAATGCAAGATTACTATCGTTATTCATATTTCTGTCATATTATAGCAGGTGATGGCCACATTCAGTGCTTTATGGCCATGCAGTACTTGAAATTACTCATCTTGGAAGTACAGTCAAATTAATTGTCATTTAAAAAATGAATGACTGACCGTTCAGGAAAATATTAATTGTAAGCTTATATGGAGAAAACAGTTAATGCTGCTTTTTTTTTCTCAAAAATTGTTGGGATTGATAATTCGTTTTGATTTGCTTTTATTTTATCGCTGCAAAAAGACTTGGTGGTTCGAGGAATCGCTAAAAAATGATTTTGTGAAGGCAAATTGAACAAATTAACAAAAGATATTTATTATAACGATTCTAATATAATTTTATAGGAATAACAAGAACAAGAACAACAGCAACCATACAATAAAACCAATAAATTAGTCCATCATAAAGAAGGCCTATGACCCAAGAACATCAAATTGCACCTAGTTACAATGACAACGACAACGAACTGAAAATGAACACAACGACTGAGGAGTCATCTGATTGTGAGCATTCAAAATGACGCTAATATTCAACACATAAAATTTCGGTCGAGTCATTCGAAATGAATAAACTTCCAAATTTTTATTTTGCACAAGAACTCATTAAAGGAACAAAAAACTACCACCACACAATAACGAACACTTTAGCTAAAACCAGTTTATGTTCTAATTTTATGGATGGCTGAAACTAAATCAAATTTCTTTGCATCAATCACCAGCCTTTCGATGATTTCAGTGCCTTCGTATCACCGAATAGCACAATTTTGTTACGGAATCAACCAATTTCAAGTGGTTTTTAGCCATCGAATCTCGGTCGTTCATCGCACAGTGCGATTTTAAAATAATACATTCATTTGCGTAACGATCATTAGCAAAAGGTCAATAAACTATCGATAATTGGTCAAAAAAACGATGGAAAAGGCAATAACAATATGAAGAAACTGCGGAACTCATAAAAAAGCTTGAGGTGACAATACTGAGTGGCTACGGCTGATTGCATTTCGAGAGACGAGTCTCTGCATTTTTCAGGTTTTTTAAGATCTCTTGATGAAATTTGAATAGCCGGAGAGAAATTTCTTCACGTGATCAAAAAGACTCGCTTAATGAGCCAAAAGCAACAACAAGTAACAATACAATAATCAACGCAAAGACTCCGCAAATCTTTGGATTTTGAATACAAACCGCTTGATATCATTCATTACTTTCGAGAATCTCACCAGCGAAATAAACCATTCAAACTAAACCTGCTAACGAATCTTGTTCAGCTGAATGAGCTGGCTTGTTTTTGATAATTCCACTCATTTTTGATAAAAGATTTTCACTTATCAATAATCAATTGAATTTTTAGAATGTAGACTACTGAACGCAGAACGCAGATTCCAATCATAATCCGAAAAAAAGACTACACTGCATTCTGAATGCTGTCAATTTGAGTTAACAATGAAAGGAACTGCAATTCACGAGAATCAAAACAACGTCATTCAAACAATTGCTATATGCACCACAGAATTAAAACTGCTTCAGTGAAGGATCGATGGCAAGTTGTTCAATGGGAACGCATTGAATATTTGGGAAATGCCCTTTGACATCGTCAACTTTTGACGGATGCACGCAGATTGAACGTGTGCATTTCGCATCATCAAACAGATTACGCAAAGGTGCTGATCCTTTCTCGAGCACCTCTTCCACGGATGCACTCCAGATTTGTTCACATAGCTCTCTGAAACAACTCCACTTATCACTACTTGTCACGAATTTAAACTAAAAATATTCTATCACTCACTATAGAACAACAATTCAATTGATTCTGATTAAATTTGAATTACAACGCAGTCAATTTACAAAAACTAATAATTAGCAAACGCATTCATTATTCCATTTCATTGCATTCTCATGCTATTCACACTTTTGAATCAATCTTCAAACACAAACCTAGTGTAATCTGCCGGGATTTGTCTGAATTGTGCGAGTAGAGTTTGATCAGCAGCTCGTTTCACCGTCTCTAGAGATTCCATTAGGTCACAAACTAAACTTCGTTTGGCTGCTTCAAATTCACTTATATCCAGCTCCTTATCAGCCAATACATCCAGCTGAAAATGCCTCCTTCAATTCAAAGAGGATATTAAAATGCCAGATCTTTGAACAAGAAATCAGCACGGAAAACAGGTGTTTTTTTTCGCTGAATCTTTCATAAGAGACACACTTCACTTGGTATAGATTTCAGTCGTTTTCGTTTACGACTTCAACTAAAAATCAAACACATTAAACAGCGGTCTGCGATTGCACGGAATCGATGAAATGAAGACTAAAAGTGAAAAAAAAACGAACAATAATCTTTTTGGTTTGGTCGTAGGCTTGAGTGA